GTAGAATTTAATCTATTCTAATTTTATTAGCAGGGACTCAATAACAGAGAAGCCTAGAACAAGAAGATGTTGATCTTCTTCTTCCGTGATTCTCGTGGCAGTTTGTGACATGATGTCCGTCAGAGGAAGGCGGTTTTGCGGATTAATAGGTCTGGGAGGCAAGTGTTTGTATGGACTTATTTAGCGGCAAGCGCTCATTGAGTATATTAAAGTAGTTGCAGTTATTCAGGCCTATATAGATATGATATATGGCATTGAGCAATTGGATTTAGTTTCTGCATCTGTCTGGACAGGATGTTGCTAATATGTTTGTAATGATTTTGATGTTAGAAGTGTGAGGTTGTTATTATTCTTCTTTGATAGGGCAGTACTAGAATGTCTGCTATTATATTTTAATAGTGATATGTAAAGAACATATGACTGTTTGGAGAGCTTGACGTATTTCTGGATTCAAAGGAGATAACTCCAAGATTCCATGAGGACAGTGGTGCTAGAGGCCAAGGTAGTGCACATCGTATGAGTTAATTCTTATTTTCTTTGAGACTATTTCGTCGTAAGAATTTTTTTTGGGCCAGTACAAGAATTTTTTAGTTTTTTTTTCTCTGTAGTTAAACATCATAAAGATGTTTTTGTTATGTGCAGGTTAATTTGTCAGTCATCTAGGCTTTGTGATTTTTCCTTAAGACAGTGTTATGGAATGCTGTTAGTATAAACAAATGATAATTTCATCGGCCTTGATTGATAGAATAATGCCGTATCATCTGCATAACAGTTGAACAGTCATGGAGTATCCTAATAATGTTCCGTAAAGGGAGCTAATTATAGGTAAGTGGGGTTTCTGGTTGTAGAAGTTTATAATATGAGATATGGGTGCCAAGTATAGTATATATCTTTGGTTTGATACATCGCAGTTGGACAGGCTGTGTAATTGATATAGATTTCAGTGACGTTAGCTATGTCAAAACTCTGGAACGACTCTGATATACTATATTACTTATGAGCAGCTTAGTGCAGTCCTTATTAATTGCCATTGATATGATGCTCTAAGGTCTCTGTGTAAAGATCATGTGAATTATGTGATTTCAATGGTTTTCTCTCTCTAGAGTGCTCAGCATAAGATCTATGATTAGAATCAGATTTCTGAGTGAGGACTAGAGTGTTCATATTTTGTCGTGTGTAAGGATGGTTCAATAGTTGAGTCATTTACTAAGTGTTAGCCAGAGCTGTCTGCTTCTCTCCTGTGGCTGTGATTTCTGAACTCCTAATATCCTGACTGAAAATCCTTCCAAAATAAATTATTG